GTCTCTCGGAACCTCTGAAGAAACTCGGTACTTGATTCATTAGTTCTCTACCTTATGGTTGTCAAATCTATAGAAATATGTATGAAACTTTTCTCTAGGTCAGTCCAATTGGCAATAGAATTAACTGGCAACGATGAGAATCAAGTGAAGGCTGGTCCTGATAGGGACAAGAAGAAGAAATGAACTCGATGAGCCTCTTCAATAGATGCTTCACCCAACTGTGTAAGATGCCGACTGATATGTTCTATTGTACTTGTGCTATTTTAACCAGTGAATTTTGGAAAATTTTGAGAGCCTATAATTTATAGGAAGAGCGACCAAATCATACCACTCTGGATACTGACGTTTGTAATAAAAGGTATGCCCTTTTGGTTTCAAATCAAACTGATTTTTCATCATCTCGGTCACCCTGAGCAACAACTCATCAGCATTTGAATCTGAATTTCTTTACAATTGTTGACCCATCTGCGGATTAAAATTCCAGGATACCCTGATACCCTGGACTTGGAATCATATGAAGGGTATTGTAATCTGCTCTGTAATAATATCCCTGTGGAATCTCTATTCGTTGGGTCCTTTGCTAATTTGCTGCTTAAAGTCTCTGGTTGTAGATGTTGGGATTTGTATCTCTACGAATCCTTTGAACTGATGGTGCTATTTTTTGAGTCGATGGCAGTATTTGGCCTGATGTGCCAAAATTAACCATTTGATTCCAAACTTGCCCCGCCAGCTGTTGCACGTACTACACTGACGATCTAGGATTATTTTGTATTTGATTAGTAGTGATACCGTGAACTTGTTCAGATGAGTTCTGAACTGACTAGACATCATCACTACCGGTTAGTGCTGCTTCTTGATGGCTAGTACCAGCTTGATTAGTCTCCTGAGTCGATGGATGTGGAATGTTGTAATAAACCAGTCCAACCTGATCAATTAGAAATCTATGAAACACCTCTTTCATGGTATTGTGGAATATGTTCAAGAAAACTGTATTATGATTTAACATGGCATCATGAACAGATTTGTTTACATCATCTATGAAGAAACGCCTATCATCAGCTTCGTCTGTATCTGCCTGTCCATGCATCAAAACTCTTGGTAGTGGATATTTCTGAATAACTTTATTGTCACGTATCTTGGTGTAGGACAACAAACACTTGTTCTAAAATTCTTCTATAGCTTTGCTGATGACATCTCTATCCTCATCAGGTAGGTCTTCATAAGGCACTATAAGAATGTCACTGTTGTTGTAAGCTGCTATGACAATTGTAGAGTCCCACCGAGCGTGCCAGAATGCGTGTCGGTGCGAAAACATGGTAGCCGCGCCGGGTGGACACGCAGCAAGCCAGAACGAAATGGAGATCTGCCTGGCTTTAACGCAGGACCGGTCGACCCTACGAATTCCTAACGGCATGACAGTTAATTTGACCTACAATTGACAAGGAGAGAAAGTTTATCAGTAATTTAGGGTGGAACATGCCGGTTTTACCCAGACAGTTCCAAGTGTGTCGCTTCGGGAGCAGCCAGCCGAGAAAATCGACTAAAACAGCCGATACGAGAAGAAATCGGCTGTTTAGGACTGTAAAACTCATGGGTCATGATTGATTTTATAGTAGCGAATATAATACACCTAGTTTTAATGATCCTTTCCCTTGAGCTATTAGCATGTATGCGTCAAAGATACATCACTGGCTAAATTAGATTTTGATCGATACGTGGTGTAGAGCCAATGAATCCGGTGAAAAGGGATATGCCACGCGAACAAATGACTGTTTGATATAGACAGTTCTACGAACCGTCTAGATCTAATCTTTCACCGCCAACAGTGAGGTTTGACCGGATCGATGCAGCTATGACGATGATGATAGTCTAGAACCAGAAAGTCCATAGAACCGACCATACTTCAACAGGCTCTTAAAAACGTGCCATATTGGTGAAAGCATAGGAGAATCGGCTAAAACAGCCGATTCAGGTAGAAAATAGATTACAACATGTGAACAATCGACTATTCAATATAGACAGATCTATAAACTCATCAGACATAAGCTGTTATCTTTAATAGTGGGGTTCGACTGGATCGATGGCAGCCATGATAAAGACAACAAATCAAACCTTTAAAATAAACGGATCTATTCACATTTAACGGAATCATGAAGACACACTGTAAATGTTAAAGTACGGGCGATCGGCTATTTAGTCGATGCGGGCATAGGAAACAGCCAAGGTCACGCCTGGTCGAAAGCAAATCTACCAGCTAGCATACTCCGATCTAAAGTGCTAACAGTGGGGATCGACCGGATCGTTACAGCCATAATAGCGAGCTATAGATCAGATTCAATTAGCTAGTAAACCTACTCGAGATCAAACATGCCTTGACTGCGTACTATGCACGATCAAGATCGAACCCAAGAATGGCCGATAAAACATAATCCATCGTTTGAAGTAAAAATCAACACAATATAGCAAAATAAACGATGTACTTAAAGGATGTGAGGCCGATCTAGATCGATCTCGATCGAGCAGGTTGATATTGCTGAAACTAATGACAACAAGGACATCAACAAGATCGGTAACTTAATGAAGGACGCCACCCTTAGGTAGAGCCGATAACTTGATATTAATCTAATTCGAGCAGTGGAGGTCAAACTTAACCGATGCAGCCGTACTTGAGCTCATACTAGAGATCGTAAGAGGTCGGCCGGACCGATATAGCCTTACAAATAGAAGTATAAGCCATGACGGTACTTATAGACAAGCCGAAAGTCGACCGAATCGATGCAGCCCTGCTTGTTGAAGAACTCGTCGAGATCTACGGTACTCTTACTCCTAAGGTTTGGCGTAAAACCGAAAAATAATTAGTATTGATTGATTGTCGATCCTTTTTACAATAGCCGGGCTCCAATATTTATACCCGGAACCTAAACATGAATCATACTCAAATACGACTCATTACAATATTTGGAATAAAAGAAAACATTGCTAACTTAAGATAATTTGGACCCTAATCTTCTCTTCTTGTAAAGTCCGACATGTTTTTTTTGACGTCAACCATAGCTCATTGATGTTATCTGCTGATGTCATCCGAAAAGAGCTAATCCCAATACCGCATTTGAATAAGCTAATATCGATCCTTATGCAATCAATTTCTTGATGACATAATCTTAGAAGTTTTGAGTTCCCGTGTTTTTCTTTCTAAATTTTTACGTAAACACGTACAAACTGAAACCAAGTTGAACCAGAATGAACAGCTAGGTCAAATTAAAGTAGCAAAATGGATGCTTATCCCTTGGGGGGGAAAAAGGATGCTTATCAGCTAAGGCATCTTGTTAGATGTCCACTGCTATTTATTTGATACGGAGAACTACTGCGTCCGGTCATCATAACCAGACAACGTTTTGGACACCAAATTAAACTTGTCATAACTCAACTCTCGATCCAACTTTGAATAGAGGGAGCTTGTAAAATTTTTTAAGCTATCCCTACTTAACACTGTATGGCTTAGCTCCAAGTCAAATAAACTTTTCAATCAAAATCATCGTTACCTCCTCCCCCATCATTTTATTTTTTATTTTATAAAAGAATGACCCTGCTCGATATGATGTCAACATAAGAATTTATTTTTTGAAAGACATGACAGGAGCTCTGCCTTTTAATTAAAATAAGAAATAGTGTTTATGTGCACAATATGCTAGATATAAAGGCAAAGAGACCCCAAAAGGAACACGCAGGTCCCTCCCTCCCTCAACATAAGAAATAGTCCTGAATGATTTACTTTTTTATTTTCCTATATAATTCTAAAATTTGGACCTTTCTTATCTTCTCCTTAGTAAAGAAGAAATTTGGACTTTGCTTGCTAAAGAGAATCTTGTGAAATACTAGTAAGTACTAAGTGGCACTCCGTCACTAGTGGTTTAAACACCAAGATAGTGAGTTAGCCTTTAGCTGACAGCCTGACACTAGGATTTTCTTTTTTCATACTCCTGAACGACTCGCGACTCTTTCATGCTTTTTAAAAGAAAGACTAAAGAGATCATAAATAAAGGCAAAAGAAGACGAAGAAAGAAATAGCACTCCCAAACGTTCAGAGTGGTGGCATGCGCCAGTACCTAACTGCAGCAATGCTTGAGCGCACTTTAATTCACCCTCGATATCCTGTCTGAAATCTTCCAAACATAACAGAGAAATTCAGTTAGTTACAATAATGGCAGAAAGTACACTCAAATACAGTACTTGAGGAGAATTGGAGAAAGCAAACCAAAAGCAAGGACGATCTTCTTGACGGGTACCTGGCCGCTGTGATCGCTTGATCTTTGTTGGCGGATGCTTTGCTGTGGTTGCTTGTCTATATGGATGTTTTGCCGCCACGGCTTTGTCTATTTTGGAGGCAACATTTGTGTTGATTACTTTTATTGCATGCTCAATTATAGGTCGTGGGTGTTGAGAGCAGTCGCTAACTCAATATTATTTAGTTCAGTAAGTGGTAGTTGTCGGTTTTCTCAGCTCCTTTCTTTAGTTTTTTTGCTACTGTTTTTCTTCCTACTCCTCGTCTAGAAAATCTTTGGTTGCCTAGAGTTGAACTGTTTGTTGCTACAGTTGGCACGTTCACTAAAAAAAGCAAGGACGATGAAATCACAGCTAGTGGTTAGCTGCTCATCCTGCACATTTAACCCACAATCACCGTACCACTCACACTCGGCACCACCATCTCGCTTCTTTTGCCGTCAGAAGTATAGTTCTTTTTTCATCATCGTCATAAGCCATAAGGTGACGAGCAGAGCAGGTTCATGGATAACCGCACTTAATCTCGCTGATATCGTTTAAAAATAGTAGAGATCAAATCAAACCCCGCCTTCCAACCATCATATATAAACACGCACGCACGCTCTAAACTGAAGAACACAGATAGCTTAGAAGTTTTAACCGATCGAAGTTACAGTCAGGTACGTTCGTTTCTGCAGTGAACACCCAACATCATCCTCTGCTCCAGCAGCATAGCATCCATGGCTTGTAAACGCCTCCTGCTCGTGATCGGGGTCGTCGCCGCGGCGAGCGCGGGCGCATCTGGTGCGCCGCCTCCGCAGCCGGCGCGCATCCAAGCGGACGTCGTCGTGACGGGCTTCGTGCCCTGCAACAACGGCACGTCCATGAGAGCGGGCTCTGCTCCAGGGTTCCCAGGTAATTAAGCTTCATTCCGGCTCCGGCCGGGGGCGCCACTGATTGCTCTCGATCGATCGATCGATCGATCGGCGCGTGACTGCGCGCGTTACCGTGACACGTGTGCATGCATGCAGGCGCGCTGGTGCAGCTGCAGTGCACGGGTGAGGGCGCCGCCGGCGCCCTGGCGGCGAACGCGACGACGGACGGCAAGGGGTGGTTCCGCATGGCGGTGAACACGACGGTGGCGCCGTCGAGCGTGGCGACCAGCTGCAGCCTCGTGGTGGACACCCCGCTGGCCGCCTGCAACGCGACGCTCCCGGCCACCGGGGCGCTCCGCTCCGGCCTCCGGCTGCTCGTCAGCATGGTCTTCTTCCCGCGGGGTTTCTCCTACGTGGCGACGTCGGCCGATGATTCGCCAGCTGCTTAGTTTCATCGAGTCGAGTGGGTGTCGCGTTGTAGTCGGTCGTCAAAAAAGCGACGATCAAGCAGTATACGTGCATGGGTTTATCATATCGCCTGCGCAGCTAAATACACCCTACCCTCCATCCTTAAATATAACAAAATTATATATATACTCCATCTATAGTTTGATTTTATTTTTTATAAGAACGGAAGCAGTTCACTTTAACTAAGCGCATAGGCACATCGTAAGCGCTAAAGGCCATCCTTAAATATAACAAAAAAACAAGCTATAAATACTCGTTCCGGCTTGATTTATTTTTTATAGAAAAATAAGCAGTTCACTTTGAAAAGATAAGTCGAAAAGTATAGATCATAAGACGGGCCAAAATTAGCAAGCTAATTACTCACAAGCATTTTACCGGACACTGACAAGCCAAAATAACAACCTCAACAATGTATCAGAGAGCACGTAGTGAGGGCTCTCCCTCGTATTCGGCTCTGGCACTGTAACGTATTGTAGCACGGAGCCGAGGGAGCTAGAAAACGCAGCCCCTCCTGCTCCTAGGCAAAATACCGGAGGATGGAGCCGGAGCCCATTTCCTGCTGGTACAATAGCACACAGTAGACCTCGGAAAACCAGCTGATGGACCTCACAAGAAACGAAGCGGCCATCACCGCGCGGCGGCGGCGGCGCCGGCGTCCCTGCCACACTGCTGCTGCCGGGAGGAAGCTGGCTGCAGCCTGCAGCGGCGGACCTGAGTGGCTCTGATGATGACGACGTGGAGATAGCTGCCCCCTACTGATGATGATTCTCCGTGACGCTTCTACTACTGACGTCCAACTTCAACTCGTCGTGAATCCTATTCTGGATTCATCTGCTCCAGTTGCGGATCTGACGATTGACTTTGACGTTGGCGAAATAAACCCCATTTTTCACTGAGGACGGTGAATTGGCAGACATGGACTTGTTGGAACGCGAACAGGGACTTGGTGGGCTTACGTCAAATTGAGTAATAATAACCAGATACTATATATCTAGATTCATCATCATGACAATAATATGCGTGGCGGCTTTTATTGTACGTGCTAATTGCTACATAAAAGAAATAAATGCCAGATATATTATTAGCTGTGCGGACAGGAATGCTAGCTGGTTATTCACCGCAAGCAGCCTCGCCGGTGCAATACTCCTACGTGACTGCGACTCAATAAGGTCTGGTTCGGTTCCTGAGAACGATTCCCAGCTGAAATGGTTCCTAGAAATGGTTTGCTAATTTGTATAAGCTTAATTAAACCGGAATGGTTTCTAGACGTGGAGCGGCCCATTCCGGACTAACCGAACCAGGCCTAATTCTTATTCTACGTGCATACACTATATATGGACCTGTTTAGTGCGCGCCTTATCACAGCTCGTTCCTGTGGGGGAAAAAGCTTCACAAACGTGGTATGTACTTATCAGAGTGTCTCTTTATTTTCTACAGCAGGCTCGATCGATCTGCTACCCTCTTCCTCATATATGGAATGGAGTGGTCTCTGACAGGGGCCAACAAGAAGGGGAGGTGTAACACAAGAAAATGCTTTTGTAAACAGAGGCAAAAGCTAGCTAAAAATATGTTAAGTCCTGCAAATTAGACAAGACGAATATAACTTATTAACTTGGGCTAAGCCTTTCTCGTTATAAGAAGGGCTCGGCCCAGTGCCAGTAGCTAGCCCACCATGACATTTTCTTGTGCTTATTAAGAACTTCAAAAAAATTGGGAGAACCTTTCTTTAGTTTTTTACCCTTTTAGATAGAAAATGAAAAGCAAAATGCTCCAGCTTCATTCTAAAAAGAGAATAAACCGGATAGATTTGTTATAGGAAACTTGTCTTTTCTTTTCCTCTTCTCAGATGCTTGTACTTCGGTTTAGTGAGTGGAAATGGGGATATCCTCGATTCTGAAAAAAAGTAAGGAAACCGCTCCTTAAAAGGCATCCACGATTGAGAAGTGAAGCCCAATTCTAAGGTTATTAAACGACCACCCATAGGCAGTGAAGAAGTGAAGATTCCGTCTAAAGGGTCAAGCACGTCTCGAAGATGCTCTTCTTGTGATCATCACATCGCTCCAACTGTGTCAAGTGCCGTGTTCAACAAATCAATCATGTGACAACCAACGTCCATGATGGAGAGTGATTTCGCTCTAATATCACTTTCAACATTGGTGAAAGATAGGGTGGGCCTGAGGACATTCTAAAAACTACCGTTGCGGGAAGGAGGGCACTGAATCGTAGAATTGCTGAGAAAATGATGTGAGACTATGTATGGAGGAACTTGCGGCCAATGGATACATAGTTCCTTACTTCTCATGCATTCGAGTACAAGCTTTATACGAGGGAAATCCAGATGTGATAGCAGTTAGTGAGCTGACTGCTCAAGGCAACGACATAGATGTGCTATAGTCAAAGTGGTGCTCATATGTGTATGTAATTTTTACACTCATGGTACTCATAGAATGGAGTATGTTCTATTTGTTGACACTGCTTGAAGGTTCTGTATCATGATTCGACGCACACATGCTCCATCCCAGTGACACCAGGTCTCACCGACCACTTGGCGTTGCTCACGGGAATCTGATCAAAGTCGCATGCCACATAGTGTCCCCCCTATGGCATATAGAACCATCGCTGAGCCCAATACTTCACATTTGTGTTCAACGGGGTGGCGATGTATTTGCCAACCATCCCGTCCTAAAGCTACAAATACGCGCTGCCTACGATCCTAGATCCATATCCCTCCGAGCTTTCTAACAGAAGAAGTGCGGAAGAGATCAAAATGCGGAAGAATGCCAATATAAGTTTCGCAGAAATGGATGAAGACAAAACATGAAGGATGGAATTTGGCCCCAAATTGCAAAGACTAATCTCATAATAGCCAATCAATCTACGGAGGAACGGATGGATTGGAACACCAAATCCACAATAGAAATAATCTTCAAAAACTAATAATTCGTCGCCACGAGGAGTCGGAAAGCTCTCACCGCGAGCCGGACGCCATCCCACCGTCACCCTATCGGGCCGTCCTCCACCAACCAATTGAGCGCCGCCTCGTTGCTGACGGACTCCACCCATTCCTCGACGCGATTGAGCTCACGTGATGCTCTACTCGAACCGCTGCGGTTTTTTTTGGGTGCCATCTAACAGATCCGTGGCCTGGAGGAGACTGCATGCTTGCGGTTGCTCTAGTGGCGGAGCAGTTGCCAGGCGAAGCGGTGTGGGCGCGAGGAAGAAGATGAAGTGGCGGAGAGTAAGTGGGAATGTTCGCCGGAGTCGCGGCGCTCTTATAACGGTTCGACCCCTGACCCTCTGTCTTTTAGGATTTTTGGGAAACCGCACCCGTCGCGCCGCATTCTCTCCCGACATCTCCGAGCGCCGCTGGGCCGTTGAATGGGCCTAGTGGGCTGCCGCGTCAAACCATGTCAAACGCGGATTGATATTCAACGCTGAGCGTTGATGACACGATATTTTCTGACCCTACTATAAGATTTCTTCGTAATCTTCTAACAGGCTCGGAGACTACGTGTGTACACGTCATCAAGCGATGATTGTACTGTTTTTCTCAGCTAAGCTGGAAACCGGTTTAGCACCTGAAGAATACTACTTTGGACCCTGGCACCACGAGACTACTTCACCTAGTGCCAGGCTCGGGGACTAAGTGGGCACACTTCACCTTGCGGTGAATGTGCTTATTTCTTTGACTTAGATCTCTTCAAAGTGGCTAAGTTCTTCCGCGCTAACTAAGTCAAGGACGCCACGCGACCAACTTCGACGCCTAGAACCTAAGTGGTCACACTTCACCTAAGATGGAGACTTTAAAAAAATTACTTTAGCTCCTTATATCCTTCTTACAAATCTTGGCTTCGAGTGTGCTCGGCTCCAGCAACCAGACAAGCAGCTTGGACGCATGTTCAAACAGCTCGGACGCATGCTCAAACAGCTCGGATGCATGCTCAACAGCTCGGACAAGCTTAAGACGGTGTTGCTCAACGGATGCAAGGCGCTCGGGGACTAGCTGTGGGGGTATAACCTCTGATACCAGCAGGGCTGTACATGGGCCGAGCCGCTAGGGGAAGTCCAGCCAACAAGATTGCACATGGGCTACGCCACTAGTGGAGGCCCAACCTACAAGACGTCACCGTGCGAAGCACGACATAGGTCGGCGTGCCTCGCAAGACTACATGAAGATCTTCGGTGATCTAGGAAACCTGCTCGAATATGTTAGATCCCGTAATATTTGTAACTTTCTATCTTGTAAAACCGATCAGGATAGAAACAACCGACCTATAACCCTACCCCCGAGCTATATAAGGCGGGTAGTGACCCCCTCGTTTTCATTTCATCTCTTATAATACAATCCACAAAGACACAGGACGTGGGGTATTACGTCAAGCTGACAGCCTGAAACTATCTAATCGCTGTCTCTTGCGCTCTGTGTCACCATCCGGTTCTCTTACGCGCACCTCCATCGATTTATCTACTACCGTGGGCATACCACTCGGTAGACTGCCGGACGTATTTCATCGACGACAAGCTAAAGTTTTTAGTTACTCATATGAATATTTTGCATGCCGCCATCTCACCGTGCATCGATCACGCATATATTTCTGCAATATTTGCCCACGCAGACGCTCCCGTGCAGCTGGTTATCAACAACGCCACCCGGCGGCACCGGCAGAACGACGAGCGATGGCCACATCCTCATCACCGTGAAGCTGAACTCGACAGAGCAGCTGGCCGCCCTGACGAGCAACAGCAACAGCAGCAAGGCGTTCATCGTTTGTCCTCCGCACGCCTGCGGCGCGCCAAGTCTCCCCGCCGGGACGGTGGTGGCGGCGGAGGTGCAGCTGATCGCTATGGTGTGACTATCAGCGACCACGATGACGCTGGTAGCGTGCAGAGGCCGACCATTGCCACCGCAGATACGCTGCTCGTTCCAGCTGTGAACGGCAGCCTCCATGCAACAGCGAACAAAGACGACGTCCACCTCGCTGTCGCTGACGTCGAAGAATTCGCCTGCTTGTTGACTGGGGGGCTGCTATTAGGATCTCTCTTCGGTTAGCACCATTTGGTGTGCAATTCGATCGTTTACATACGCCATCAGCCTCTTTCAATGACATGTACCGGGCATGAGCCGATATATGTCATGGACTAGCTTGGTGGTGTAGACGATAAAACTTGGGTCTCAGTTAATGGTGCCGATGAAAACTATCTACTATATTATAATAATAAAATCTGTCGTCAAGGGCACTAGGGCAGTGCAGATACATTTGTTACTGTTACCACATGTGACTACGCATGGCCTGTATGACCATGTATGCTCCCAATATGATAATCGGGGATATGGAGTGTTTTCATTATATCCCTCTAAGCCTCACTTTACTTTGAGAATGGAGACAATTTGTTAATTTTTCTAACCTCCCCACACTATGAAAAAAGAATCTAGAAGACAAGCTCCTGAATAATAGATGCAGACACTTTTAGAGGTTATCTCTGTAAATAGTGAGGTGGGGGTCTCACGTTATTCCAAGGTAACCGTCTCTGTTAATATCTATAAATGGTGAGGTGGGGGTCTCAGGGTATTCCAAGGTAACCGTCTCTATTAATTGACTATTAACAGAGGCAGACATCCGCTTTTGTTAATCGATTAACAATGAAAATGACTATTAACAGAGACGAACATTCTACGCCTATAGAAATCATTAACAGTGATGAACATTCTAAAGGTTCGCTATATAAATAGTTGTCTCAAAGTATTTATAACTTTTTCATATGAAGTCATAAGAAAACAAAATTTGTACCAAAATTATTGTAGAGCTTGACGCGGTATGCAATTTTGTAGGTTATAATTTTCTGATTTGAAACTGTTTGGAGTCCTAAAAGTTAGTTTTACGATCTCATTTTTAAAATTAAAATTTAGAATTTTTAAATAGCATCAAATATTGACATGGTCTACACAAAAGTTGTAGCTCTGAATATGATCTACAGCTTTATAGATAACAAGTTTTTTATCTATAGTCATTTACATTATCAAAGTAAATTTTACATCTTGCCGACCTCTATAATTTTGTATAGCGTGAGTCTCCATCTGATAGTATAAGAACCCAGAAATTTAAATATCAAAATCTAAGAATTTTGAACAAATATTTGGGACTCTAAATGTTTTCAATTATTTGGGACTCTAAATGTTTTCAAGAGTCACATAATATCATATAGTAATAGCTTAATTAAGTTTCAACGTTCATGCTAGGCATGTTGGCTAGGAACTAAGTTCTGTTTGGTTGCTCGCATGCATCTAGTAGGATCCGTATCCATTAGCTTGGCTCACTCTAGACAGGCTGAGTGTATTTATACTGTTTTGTTTGGTTCCTTGTATGCAGGAGACTGGCTCAGAAAAAAATGTTGTTCGGTTGTCAACATGAGTATAAATCACGTAAGATGAATGTGCCAAAATAAATAATAAAATATTAATTATTTTTATGTTATTGTATCATATTAATATTAAATTTATCTTATAAAGCCTTAATCTACTTTGAAATCACTTAATATGCACTAATTACGTGTTAATGACGTCGTTAAGTGTACTAACACTTGCACAGCGCGAGCCTAGCTCGCTGGATAGGAGTAGGACTGATCCCCACGTTTTCCCTGGACCTGGCTGGATGCACTCAGCTTGGCGGAGAGGCTTGCCCGGCCAACCAAACACCGGTGCCTGCATACCATAGGCCTGGCCTGACTCGATACAGGCATACGAACAAACACCATTGACAGCAGCGGTGGTCGGCACGATGACTAGCGCTGCTCCAATAGGTCCCTAGCTCTGATGACTGATGGTGGTGGATAGAGCGGTTGCAGGGAAAAAAGTGTCGCAGGAAAGGAAAGGAGATTGAAGCAGTCTCCCCTTTCTTTAGGGGAGATAGGAGAGATTTTTTTAGGTTCTAGAAAAAATAGGAAAACAAATGTTGGACCATATGTTTTTTCATCATATTTTTTAGAAAAAAAGGAGAATTCTTTTTTCTCAATCTGGTGAAGTTGATCTTAGAATATTTTTAATAATATGAGTTAAGTACTATGTCCTACATTATTGTTTTGGTATTTCTTTCGACCTCAGCTGAAGAGATGATTTGTACTAACCACCCTGTTTTGTTTTTTTCCCGTCTAATAAAAATTACAGCAAAGCTCTTGCCGTCCTTTCAAAAACTAAACTATGTCCTACATGCCACTCATCATTTATGTCCCATATGGCCTTTCTACTCTATATATTCTCTCTCCATCTATGAGGGCTAATTTGGAAACTCAAATCCTCTTAGGATTTCTGGCTTTTTCCGAGGTGCGAAAACCATGGAAAAGTAATTTGAATAATTATTTAGTTCTTCGTGGAGGGGTTTTCATCCCTGGGTGTGCCTTCCCCTTCTTCCAAATTAGCCCTGAAAGAGAGATAGTGGTGGTGTGGTATTGATGAACGTGAGGCGATGTGTACCGTGTAGATTGGCAAAGCCTGGGAGGTGCATGAATGAAAGCCATGGCCGCCACGTTCTCCGCTCCAAAGCTGCCAGAGCAGCATCTATCACAACTGGCGTTTTCACCGGTAGGAAGCAGCCCTATCCAGCTATCTGAAGGAAGCGAGGAACTCAAGCGGTGGCCTCCCGTTCGGATGCCCCCTGCCATCGGCAGCAACACCAGCTTCGATCTCCTCACATATATCCATGGGGCATGGACTCGTCCAATTATATAGGGTAAAGTGGAGGAATAAGATTTGGTGGTATCTTCCTCGTTAGTGGGTTTTAACGTCGGTTTTTTTTTCTTACTGCAGCTGATCGATGGTTCAGTGCATCATCAACATGGTTGGAGAAAAATTGACGGCGTCAGTTTCTGATGATGTGGCTGCTAGGAGCGCAGCTTTAAGAGATAGTGGGAAACAGATTAAAGAAGATTGTGACAATTAAATGGCAACTGTGTGCTCATGACGTGGCATCACGTGAGAGCAGAGAAATCCTTAGTAGGGTTTTACTTCATAAGAGGGTAAGATAAGATTGGATGAAAAAAGCCTAATTCTTATCCTCACACTATTTAAAGTTTTTGACCTCTCTACCTTCTTACAGCCTGTTCAGCTGGGGCTGAAACGATCGTATACGATCGTGGATTATTACTGTTGACTGGTTTGATGTGAGAGAAAAATACTGTTCTGGCTGAAAATTTACGACCATTTATGACCCAGCGAACAGGCTGGTGGTAGCCAGTGCTAGTTTAGACCTGGCCATCGAAGACCTTATTTTCTAGTGAATGTTCATTGATTAGCAGGCCTGCAGATTGACGCACAATTAAACCATTGAACGTCCAGGCCTTGCTGGCTTTTTTGTTTAGCAGAGGCCTTGCTAGCTAATGAACGAAATATTTCATGTTGGTTTTGGCCCAGCCTAGTTAATAGTAATTTTGGCCCAATGCTTCGCAAGAAAATGGCCCAGCCCATCTACCTTGCCTGTCATTGGCCCCGTATTTAAGTTCTATATACGCTCCCATCACGCACTAGAACCCTAGCGCCCGTCCCGCCGCCGCTGCAGCAGCCACCGCGCGGTCACACAACCATGGTATTCTCGTCTTGCTCCTCTTCCTTGTCATCGTCCTCAGAATCCGCTACTAACTTACACGATGACCTCCTCCGCAGGGTATCGACCTCGTCGCCGGCGGCCGCAACAAGAAGACCAAGCGCACGGCGCCCAAGTCCGACGATGTCTACCTCAAGCTCCTCGTCAAGGTCAGCCCCCCTCCCGACCCAGTTCTCTAACGCTCTTGACGTTCAATGGGTGTTCAGGGGTTCAGATTTGACGCGATTCGCTCGTCGCACACAGCTCTACCGCTTCCTTGTGCGCCGGACAAAGAGCAACTTCAACGCCATGATCCTGAAGCGGCTGTTCATGAGCAAGACCAACCGCGCGCCGCTCTCCATGCGCCGCCTCGTTAAGTTCATGGAGGGTAAGGTAGATATCTAGTACCTTGGGATGCCATTTTGGTCTTGGTCAGCATCCTTGATGTGAGTTTTAAATGTGGGGGCTAATTTAGATCCATGTGCCTTGTGGGGCTGCAGGGTGATCAGATCGCCGTGATTGTGGGCACCGTGACCGACGACAAGAGGATCAACGAGGTGCCGGCGATGAAGGTGTGCGCGCTCAGGTTCACTGAGACAGCGAGGGCCAGGATCATCAATGCCGGTGGAGAGTGCCTCACCTTCGACCAGCTCGCGCTCCGTGCCCCGCTTGGGCAAAACACGGTATGGCTATTCATGTTGGAAATTCACCTGGTGATTGCTGATGGTGATGCTTGATACAGTACATTTCATTTCTTGTATGAATCAGTGGAGGTCTTGTAGATGCAGAAGATAATTCTAGTTAGTCAGACCTGTAACTACATTAGGTCTGGTTGTGTTTGCTGTACTCCAATGCGTCTCCAATACGTCTGGTGTATTATTCTGAACTTGTAGATGCTGTTTAATGGGTTGTAAACACTGAGTGTTCTGTCCTGGTACAATGCAATGGACAGCGGCAAGTTCCCTGGAATTCTAAAAAAAAAGATGTAACTGTGAGGCCCCTCTAGGTGGATGGTACTAATGCTGCTCAAAGGGTTTTGGCTGAGCAAGTACTGTACTCTGATTTAGTTCCGATAGGCTTTGTTCTTGTCATCATTTGTTTATGAAATAGTTATGTTATGACCAGAGATTGCATCTGTTACCCTCTTATTTGGGCTTCTTTCCATGCCAAGGAGATAAAACTGGTGCATAGACCTACATGGTTGGCTTACCAGCCCATTGCATTTTCATTGTTGCCCTGGTGTCAAATGGTCCAACCAATATTAGTTTGCTGACTAAAATTGTCCTAGTGATTTAATATGAACGCATGCATGCTTGTTTGATTAGGAAGTTTTTATTTCAAATATTACTGCCTCATTTGTCGTTGCTTTGAAAGTGCTGCCCAGTGCCCACTACATTAGACTTTTGAAGCTCAATGGAATCTGAGCAGGAAAGTTCTTCTCTTTTCTGAAGATATTTCTAAGTTTTCACATGATACACTTATTTAAGGTGCATATGTCAAGGTTGACATACGATCCTAGGTTGCCCTGGTTTCAAATGTTTGGACCAAAATGTGTTTTCTTATGGCTGTGCATTATCCATTTATCCTAGCAGTCGAATAGAAGTACTAATTTATTATCTGAACTGTTATGGGTCATTTCACATAGCATGTTTGCTATGACTATATCACTATAGTGTAGGCTACCAACTACAATATGTTTTCAGAAGAGGTCTTTGAACTTAGATATCGTCCTTCTCACATTGAAATGGCAGTATTCCGTGTACTGACGCCATATATATATTCAACACAAGGCGTGCCAGCTAATGCTATGACTCCATGTTTACTGACTGACATGGTCATTAGTATTTCCCATCTTTTATGGTTGTAAAGATGAAGAGAAAATTTTGTATTGTTACGACACCCATTTTATCCTCTGAGATGACAAGATATGATCCCTTGATTTCATTTCCAAGTTTTGGAACTCCCACTGTGCCTCTGTATATTATATTTATTATTTATTATTGTTAGCCGTATGCCTTTGTGCTACAGTTGATCTTGTCACCCGCTGAAATTATTTATCTTGATTAGAAAAGTTCATTGTTTTTTCTAACTGTCCTAGTAATTTATGATTTCTTGATATATAGGTTCTCCTGAGGGGACCTAAGAATGCCAGGGAAGCTGTCAAGCACTTCGGCCCTGCACCAGGAGTGCCACACAGCCACACCAAGCCATACGTTCGCTCAAAGGGGAGGAAGTTTGAGAAGGCAAGAGGAAGGAGGAACAGCAGGGGCTTCAAGGTCTAAGTGGCCGCAGCCTTGCGAATCCATGCCATTTTGCTCGTATCAGCTAAACATTACTGTTTTGGTGTGTTTAGATGTCAGAATCTCGTGTTATTACCTGATATCGGACCAATCAAATTTTGCTCCTATTATTTGCGCCGTGGGACTTGTTGTCAGTCCGTCACGAAGATACTCCCATATCTTTATGGGTGGTAACTGTGTGAAAGTATACCTGGCCTTTTTGCATTGCTCATCTATGTTCGCTTGGCAACTGTATTCTCGAAATTTGTTCATTTAAATTCTGCGCTTTCACGATTTAACGGTGGCACCGCCTTCTTGAAACGAAGTATACTGATCCTATAGTCCATTTTGGTTACCACCGTGGGAACATGTCCTGTGAAATGAGCTACTTGTGTAAAACAAAAGCGAAAGGACTCATTGCCCGTTGGTAACATGTTTGTGGTGAAAATGAAATGTAAAAGAACAAACGAATGGAAGTTATTTTCATTGATCTCTTGGAGATATATACATGAAAGAAAATTCTCTCTTCATGAATGAATAGACAACTGTTCATTACACAGTTATTGCCAAAAGACAAGTCCCTTTTGTGACATGTAATTGCTAATCCTAAACCTAATCTTCTTAATCACGGATGACTAACCCTAAGCCTAATATATCTTCTTAATCAACGGACGACATCATCTTTGGAAAGATGTTAACATGTGTCATTTCACAACAGTTTGTACATAGGTAGCTACAAAATGAGCTGACATGTTTGTATTAGACATGCTCCTCCGTCCTAAAATATCTGCGCTTTTAAACTTCCGAGAAACAACTTTGATAAAATATATATTAAAAATATTAATATTTATGATACATAATTGGTATCATTGGAAATATCTTTTAATCTAGTTTTTAATAAATTTATTTAGAAATACAAATGTTGGACGATTTTCTATAAATCGAGTCAAACTTGTAAATACGAAAAACCAAAATCGATGATAATTTGGGACAGAGGGAGTAATATCTATCTACCTACAAAATCAGCGATACTATTGATAACAAAAAAAAAGGTGAGTGAATCAACGGCAATTTGTTCCTGAAGAAGTCATCTTTGCACAAGAACTGTTTGTGAGATGGGAATGGGAATTTATTCCTGGAGAATTCATCTTTGCACGAGGACTGCTAAGTGAAGAAGGGAACAAACAGTGTTTGTGAGATGCTAGACTCCACCCCTAGTTACATGGGCAGATGAATTACTTCTATATACTAAAGTGTATGTATACAAAGGCTTGTAACGAAACATAAATATAAATTAATATTCGAAAGCAACAACACGTGTTTATAAGCTACTAGCAAGTAAGGGAAAGCACAAAGCAGGACGCAGCAGGTAGCATATCCGTTGTCTTGTCTATCACATGGGTACGGCCGTGTTGATGGCGTCGAACGTCCATATCTCCATCCCGGCGGCGTCGACCTGCGGCGGCAGCTGGTGGTGCACGTACGCCACCATGGGCGCCTGGTCCTGCGCCACGGCGACGGCGTCGGGCACGTACGACGGCTGCGGGTGGTGCTGGAAGAACGTCGTCCCCATGCGCATGACGTCGACGTCGTAGTCGACGAGGTGGTCCCTGCTGCCGCCGCCGCAGGACATGGCGAGCATCCCCTGCGCGGCGCCGGCGTGGATGCCGTCGTCGTCGTATTCGGGCGGCGGGTCCTCGTTGGGGAAGTTGACCTTGGCCTTGGCCCCGCGGATGCGTCGCGCGGCGCGGTCGTAGGCGCGCGCGGCGGCCTCGGCGGTGGCGAAGGTGCCGAGCCAGACGCGCGCGCCCTTGGCCGGGTCACGGATCTCCGCCGCCCACTTGCCCCAGGGGCGGCGCCGGATGCCGCGGTACATGGTCTTGCGCTCCCGCTTCCTGACCGGCGGCTCTGCACCATGCACGGGTGTCAGGTCAGGCGGTCGAGTGTGTGTCCTATCCTAGCTGTAGCGTGTCTGTGCGTGTGCCCTGCTGGCCGTCACAGGTAGCAAGTGTGCAAACGAACATGAGTATTACCTTGGTCGGGATGGAAGGAGGCCGCGGCGAAGTCGTCGAAGTCGGCGGCCGCCGTGGCCGCGTGCGGCCAGAAGTCCTCGCCGCAGAGGCCCCGCTTGCCGCCGCCGCGGGCGGCGTCGCGCTGCGGGATGAACTCGGAGATGATCGCGCCGCCACACATGTTTTAAGTTCTAGTCTGCTGGGTCTGCGTGTGGTGTGGAAGCTTCTGCCGCGGCGCTACAACTGCGGTGCTACGGAAACGGGAGAGGAAGGAGGCAAAGGTGGTGGAGTGGAGGTTGCTGTGGGGGACGGAGCCGTGTGCCGGGCGTGCTTATATAGAGGCGGGTGCGGCGGGCCGCGGACAGGTGGTGTGTGTCTGTGTCGAGTGCGCCGCGGTGGAGTCAGCCAATCAGGAGAGTGGCAATGGGAACGGAGCGGTGACGCGGCGAAGGCAACGGCAGCTTCGCCTCTCCTCGGACTGACGAAAATCCGTGGATTCCCCCGTCGTCCCAAATCCGGAATCCGGAGCCGTCGCTTTCGTCTCCACGCGCCCCTCCGCCGCCGCTTTCTCTCGGTCTCGGTGAACCAATCGCAAGCACCACACCACACGGTCCGTACAGGTGTTCGCTGCTCCTATCGCTGCTGCTGCTGCTCCGGGCGTACAGAGTAATCCCTCCGTCTAAAAAAAACGCAATTACTTATCGCTGCGTATCAGGAAAAGTAGTTTATGTTTAACCAATTTTCTACTAAATACTATTCGCATTTACGGCTCTAAAATAATTTATTATAAAAATATATTTCGTAATTAATCTAATAATATTTATTTGATATCATGAATATTAATACTTTTTGTCTATAATTGATCTAACTTAAGATACAAAATCATAATACTGTGCTAGAATTGTATTCTTTTCTGTACAGGGAGTATAGGCTACAGAGAGGAGGTAGCGGAAAAGCACGCATTTCCACTCGACATCGGCGGTTTTTCAACAGTACAGGACCACCGTATCGCACTACGTCGGCTCCGGCAGTAAAGGTGGCCCTCCAACTTTTTCTTAACCTTGTTTGTACGGTTTTTTCATCGGCTTCCACAGCCGTTTAAAGTCATTTTGTACTAAACGAGGTATGTTTCATTCGGAGAGTCTCTTAAAATCTGCTGATACAAAGAATTTGTGAAGGTCGAGCTAAAAACAATGACTTTATCTTGCCCTGGTGGGCCCTAGTGAGGACAGAGACCCATCGTTTTTTTTTTGAGTCTGGAGGGACCGGAGCCCTACACTAATTGATTAAACTTAAACAAAAGTAGTAGTTACAAAAAAAGAAAGGGAAGGGAAAGAACAGGTAGCTTAAGAAACAAAAAAGAAACAAACAAAATTAGCTTCAGGCTACAGCTTATTCCAGACTTCGTATCCATGATGAAAACTGATCTTCTTGTCTAGCCTTTACTCTGCGCTGAAGAAGCCTTAGTTCTTTGAAAAAGGCCCTCCGATAGTCCATCAAGTTCATTCTGATTCCTTTGAAAATAAGATCATTTCTTGCTGTCCAAATGGTCCAGCACAATAGAATTATAGCTTCCATGAAAAACTAAGTGTTCAACTGGATCTTAATCTAGGAAGTCAACTCTAGAAAACTGCAACTCAAGGGGATGTCAACATTTATTATATCCCAGCACATCCTTGCAAATGGGCAATCAACAAAAAGATGATGAACGGATTCTTCCTCTAGAAGATCGCATAACACAGAATTATAAGAGTCCAAGTTCATGTTTCTTCTGTTTAGCATATATCTGGTGCTCAGTCACCCCCGCTTAGAGAAGAAGAGACACTCGCGGGAGCTGCCGAGCAGGCTGTGACCATCGGGCGTGAGGGCACGCCGCCAAGGCATGTGCATGGCCGCCGGGTGCTGGGGCGGGGAGGGCACGGTCGTCGGGGTCATGCGGACGGCCAAGCACGGGCGTGAGGAGTTCGTGGCCGCCGACTGTGTGCAGCCCGTCAGACATGGGGTCAGGGAGGGCACGACTACAGGTGATAGAGCGCTCGCGCGAACCACAGGGGAAGAAGACCGTGAAGGTGAAGGAACGAGTGGATAAAGAATAAGAGAAATATGAGAGACAAAAGAAAAGAAAAAGATAATATAGTCTTTTCGTCTCTTTTGCCTTTTAGAGCTGTTTTGCCAATAGGGTAGCAAAACAATTCCAGTTCCACTAGGAGATGTTGTTGAAGAAAAAAAAAGATTTTATTGGTAAAATAGAGCCGTGCCAAACAAAGCCTATAGTGCTTGTATATAAGAAAGGAAAAGCAAGCTGCCTGCCGCTGCTGCAGAACGATGTGCGGACGACGGTGGGCGGCCTCTGTTTTCATTTCTCCGCCACCACGGTTGTAAAGCATATACTAGCTTGCTGCCACTCGTGCGTGCCATGTCGCTAACACTGTGGCACGTGCTAACGACACGCCCGTCATTTGCTTTGCTACCACGCATATACTACTAGATAAGAAGATGACGGTGCTAATAAGATCACGTACGTTAGGTACGTAGTACCTACTTATTTCACGTGACCGAGAGACAACTTTTTGCTAGATACTAGGTTTCTTTTTCACCTGGAAATGACGTGCACTAGCTCATTGCTCAAACGATATAGATATAGCAGTCGAGTCTATATCCTACTTCGTCGTCGGCAGCCGGAAGACGATGACTGAAATCTGAAAGAAAGATGGAAAGAAACAACGACGAAAGGAGTGTTCCCTCTGCTTGAGCTATGTCTATGTATCATCCGCCCAGTTGAGATGATCGTGGTCAGGTAGGTCAGCTAATTAATGTTGAGTTCAACAACTGATGCGTGAATTATGTATATATAATAGGGGAGCTATATAGAGAAAATGACAAAATGCAATAAATATATTAAAACGTTAAAGTCAATTTGCATTGTAAGTGAATAAAATAGCATATTAGTGTCTGAATAGTGCATTGTGGATAGCAGTTGCTAATTTTCGA